ATTTTGGATATTTAGCTTATATTAGTTGGGGTTTATTGCATTCTTCCCCCAGGGGGATGGGGTGGGGTAGGGTGTGGGTGGGGCGCAGGATAAGACGGAGTGGTGGTGCTGTGTATATGTTAGCATTCACCACGCGCAGCGCTTACATTTAGGTCAAACATTAATTAATTAAGGAGTATATTATTTTGTTGGGGAAATGTGACATTGAAAATATGGGACCATTTTTTTCTTCTTTTAACTAGGAATCTAGACTCTAGTGCAAGATTTCCAACATTATGATTTAGTTTAGTAATCAATTTTTAGTCAAATGAAATGAAGTATTTAATTATGTAATGTTAAATTTCACCAGCATCCTTGAGGTATGTTAAATAACTTTAAGATCCTACTGGTGTTTGTAATTACAGTCGTCACACCCCTGGAACAATTGTTGGATCCAAGATTTCATGTTTTGGGGACTGATATGCACTATATTTTGTTTCTTATAATGCTAATGTAGATGAAAATTTATAAATCTAATACTCTATCCGTTCCCTTTTAATAGTCGTTTTTAGATTTGCACATGGATTAATGATTTCATTAAATGTGTCTGATGTTAGGATAAATGTATATGTTTAGACTAAAATAACCGTATCTTATAACTAGTAAGTGAGAGAAATGAATTAAAAAAATAGTACTAGAAAGAGTTAATAAGTGTATAGACTCGAAATTAAGTAATTAATGCAGTGTTTAAAATTTAAAGTGACAGATAATATGAAACAAAAAAAGACTCACAAAAGAGACAGATATTATGGAATACAGAGAGTATAAAATAATAAGGATTTAAGAAATATTAGGAGAACTATGTCACCCTAGCTCTATGTTGTCTCCATTATTACGTGAAACTAATAGTTCGTTAGAACCCTAACGGAATAACTTATCTAAAGCATTATTCCATTAGGATTTCTAACAATGTTTCAGGAGTGATTGTAATTATCGATACTAGAGGGACCTTAAAATTATTTTAGTATACTTCAGAAATGTAGGTGTAATTTACCCATTATATAACTATTTAAACTTAATCCAACTTTATTATAATTTTGATATTGTTCCAATTACCAATGTTATTAGAACCGGACCGGACCGGCCTACCAATGTTATTAGAACCGGACCGGACCGGCCGGTCCGACCGGTTCGACCGCGACCCGCCGGAAAACCGATCCGGTCTAACCCCCAAACCCACATAAATTCAAAACCGGGGTCAACTACCAAAAACCCGGTCTGACCGGGTGGAACCCGGGATCCGGCGAACCGGCCGCGGACCCGGGTTTAATTCCTAAACGCTGCGTTTTATATATTTTTTTTAATACTTTATCAAAACGACGTCGAATTGATTATTAGGTTTTAAAAAAAAAAGATTGAATTAAAAAACACGTTAAACGTCAACACTCAACAGACTTCTTTGACAAGTCTGTACATCTTCTGCCTTCACTATTCCCGCACCCAGCCACCGCCGCAAACCACCAGCCACCGCCAGCCGCCGCAAACCCCCAGCCACCGCCGGCCGCCGCCAGCCACCGCCGCCCCCGCAACCTGCCGGTACCCTCTTTTGTGTAGATGAATCGTGCAATTTTTAAATTCTTTTGTTTAATCATGTGATAATAATTTTGTTTAGATTTCAATTCTTCAAAAAAAAATTGTTTAGATGTGAATTTAAAATTTCTATTTACACTTGTAGTTTTTTCACCATTTAATATCGTATATATCAAATTATGTTATTTTCTAATACCATATCTATTGTACAAGAAATAATTTTAATGCAAAAGACATTAACGATTTGATCTGCGTTCATTAATTAATTGAAATATTTTTTGAGTATCGTATTCAACCGTGAAAATATTAACTTGTCTTTTTTTTTTCCCTTAATTTATTAGGAGACTATGGCTGAGCTTGAGAGTAATACAATTTCGTCACAAGCAGAAGCTTCCTCAGCTACTTCAATTAGGAAAAAAACAGACGCGGCATGGAGATGAGGGCGAGGATGACCTTGATGAGTGAGGGTGATTATTATGAGATAATTTTATTTTATTTTAAAATTTATGTTCAATAAATGTTCTTGGATGTTTGTGACTATGTTTTTTTAAGTAAATTGACTAATTTATATGTTTTAGTTTTATATTTTAAATTTTAATTATGTGATGAGGGTGATTTTGATGAGATACATTATTATTATGGATAATTTTTTGGATTGAAGTGAAGTTTTTCATATGTTGTTTAATATTTTAAATTTTTATTTGGATGTAATTATGTGTATATAAAATTAAAAAATAAATAGAATATATAAAAAAGTAAAAAATCCGGGTTGACCCCGGTTGAACCGGTCCAACCATGACCCGAATGCCTCGCTGGTTTAATGTCCGGTCCGGTTCTGATAACATTGCCAATTACCACATTAAGCTTTTTGTTTGTTTGATTTGATTTTGTCTACGAAATTGGAAGAAAATTATCACTAATTACACTTTGAAATAGTTAACTTGATTACTCATTTGAACCACATAATTGCCTAATTTTACGCCATCACACTAATACATCGTCGTTCTAGATATAAACATTTTTTTCTCGGACTCATAAACAACTGTTGTTAAGTTGGTGGTAGGGAAAAAACACATACTCTCTCTTATAGTGCATTCAAGCATCCGCAATATTTGGTTATGGTCCAACCATACTCGAACCTCCATTACGTGGATAATTGCTGTCAATTCAGCCTAACCAAAATTGTATTTTATTTAGTAGAATTATTAATTTATGCCACTAACATTAAATAAATAAAACAGATAATATATGATGGGGTCTTTACAAATAAGTCCACTAATGGGTTCTTATTTATAAAGAGATCTAGATAAAAAACTCATTATCAATAAGTCCACACATGGTCCAAATTTTTGTAAAGGACTAAAATAACCCTTGGGGGTTTTAATATGCTCCAATTTCATCCTCAACTTTATTTAACCTCAATTTGACCGCAAATTTCACAAATTATTCAATTTTGACCCAAAACTTTTTTCTTTCAAAAAAAAAAAAATTCAAAAACTTTTTTTTCCCGCCAAATTGCGGCGTTGACTTCTCAACTTTTTTTTTCTTCCGGATTTTTTGCCGATTTCCGGCGTTGACTTTTACGATTTTTTTTTTCTTCTTTTCTTTCTTTCTGTAACCTTTTTTTTTCGTTTAAACAGCAATATTGTTGTGATTGACAGTAACATTAACTATATTACTGTTAAACACAGTAAAATTAAACTAAACTACAGTTTAACACAATAATATTGCTATATTAATCTCTAGCACAGTAATATTAACACAACAAAACACATTATTATTGTGTAATAGAGTAATATTACTATGTTGACCGTTCAACAAATGTAAACATAATAAAAAACCAAAAGAATTAATATTACTGTGAGTGACAGTAATATTACTATAACAACAGTAATATTACCGTTAACCACAGTAATATTACAATAATAGACATTAATATTATTACGTTACTCCATGAATAACACAAACAAACAAAAAATCCAAACAAAATAATAATATTGATGTGGTTGACAGCAATATTACTATAACAACAGTAATATTACCGTCAACCACAGTAAAAATATTGTGTTTACAGTAATATTACAATAATAGACAGTAATATTATTACGTTACTCCGTGAATAACTCAAACAAAACAAAAAACCCAAAAAAATAATAATATTGATGTTGTTGACAGTATTTTTGTGTTTACAATTATTTTAATTACGTTGACTTGTCAACAAATCAAATAAAAAAAAAACAAAAAAAAAAATATTAATATTACATTAATTTACTGTCAACGGCAGCATAATTACATAAATGTATTGTTAACGGCAGTACAACTACGTTAATTAACTGTCATTGACCGTATAATTACGTTAATTTACTGGTCAGTGACAGCACAATAACGGTCAACGTTTAGCGGCGGACGTAAAAAAAAAACCAAAAAAAAAAACAAAACAAAAAAAAACTTTAAAAAACACTAAAAAAATCAACGCCGGAGACCGGCGAAAAAATCCGAAAGAAAAATAATACAAAAAAGAAAAAAAATTGAAAAGGCAACACCGGAATCCGGCCGCAAAAACAAGTTTTTTGAAAAAAAAAATTTGAAAAAAAAAAGTTTTTGTGGTCAAAATCGGATTTTTATGGATAAAATTAATTAAATTGGGGTTACAATTAAGAATTAGGTATATAGGGTTGAGAGTAATATTGGCATATACATGGAGGTTTCATTTATTTATAATAAATATTAAAGGGATGGACTTATTAGTGAAAGAGATATAGCGTCTAAACTGTGAATAATAAACATGCTTGGTTGGAGACTTATGCACAAAAACTCCATATATGATTGGTTGATTCATAAGTATATTATAGATAGATTTCACTTTCATTTTGTGATGTAATTAGCAAAAATTATTAACCCTAAAAAGGAAAGAAAAACATATTACTAGAATTAAGGCTGTCGTTTCCATGATAATATTTGATTAGGGTAAATTACACACACCCCCTGAGGTAAGCTTAAATAACTGTAAGGTCCCTGTGCTATCCATAATTACACTTAGCCCCCTGAAACGTAATCAGAAACTCTAATGGGATAATGAATTGGATACGTTATTCCGATAGGGTTCTAACGGACTATTGGTTTCAGAAAGT